TTTAGGGTTTAAGGGTTTCGGGTTTTGGGGTTTTGGGGTTTCGGGTTTTGGGGTTTTGGGGTTTAGGGTTTAGGGTTTAGGCCCGCCGATGCGCGAATATACTTAGAGCTATAGAGGCAGCCTTAATGTGATTTGGGTCTGTGGGTAGGTCTCGAAATTGATGTCCCTTTTTTGAGGTCCCTAAAATAGTGCGGCACCCTTATTAAAAGTAAAGCACCCTAATTAGAGAACTGCCCAATATTCCGTAGACCCCTAAACCCCAAACTCAAAGCCCTAAATCAATATAAAAGCCCTAAACCCTCACAAAAGAGTTATGGAGACTAAACCTGCAGAATAAAAACCCTAAGCCCTCAAAGAAGCACCCCAAACCCTAAACCCCAAAGCCTAAACCCTAAAACCTAAACCGAAGAGTTTTCGAGTCCCAGAGCTGTGTGCTGCGAGGCGATCGCGTCCAAGCCGGAGAAGGTGCCCGAGGAGTGTCGGACTCAGACTCCTCTTTGGATTCTCCAAATGCGGGTTTCCGAAAAGAGAGGACCCTAATATAGTACCCTTAATAGTAGGATCCTTATTATAAGGACCCCAAAATAAGGTACCCATTATTTCGGAAACTCCCAAATTGGGTGGTTGTCAAAATTAGGGTCCCTTTTTGGGTCCGTAATATAATACGGCACCTAATATTTAGGGTACCCGAAAAGGGACCCTAATTTTGACAACCACCCAAATGGGTAGTTCTCTAAATCAGGGTCCCTTTTGAGGTCCTTTTTTATAAGGGTGCCGTACTATATTGGGGACCCAGAAAGGGACCCTAATTTAGAGAACTACCTAAATGAGGGTTCTTTTCGGGTTCAGGGTTTAGGGTTTAGGGTCCTCAATATAGGAATAATCTGCGGTTTTGGGGGGATTCGTGAAGAAGGACCCTGATTTCGAGAAGAGACCTCGTACGAGCGTGTGCGCAGCACTGCGCAGTCTGAGCGAAAGAGCCTTGTTCCCGCTCTTCAGGCTACTGTTTCACAACCGCTACCGCAAAGAGATCTTCCGAGACTTGGAATGCAGAGCAGTGTGGCGCATGCCGGCTTCCTGCTTTGCTGCTTGCGATTTCTCGAGATTTTGATGGCTGAGGAGGCCTCTCTGAGCATGAGCAACGGAAACTGCCCCGTGGCTTAAGATTATGAAGTGAGTGGGACCCGTCGCCCGCTTGACGTCTGTCTCCCTGGAGGCAAGTTTTCCACAACCTCATGTACGTGCGATACCCTCACGCGGATGAGAAGAGGTGTGGGCCTTGACTCGCATGAAACGACGTCATGTGTGAATCTCTTGGGCGGCGGTTTTAGCCAGCATTTCCAACCGTGCATAGGCGGAATCCGGAGCGGTTCTGGATGCCCGAAAACCTGATCGTGTCCCGACAGAAGGAGGCGGGAAGTTGGGACTGCAAGCAAGCAATTCAATTCGTCTGCTGGCTTAGGGCCTATAGAATCCTTAGCACCCTACCTTTCAATCTCTCTGAAGCGATATTGCAGCACCATCACAGATTCCTGGGAGTTCCCTCCTCCAGGCTGCAATGGCCAAGAAGAACATCAAGCCAAGAAAGGGCTAGGCTTGTGCCGCCGCTCCCCGCGAAAAAGTGACCAGTCACCCTCTTCGCCTTGGCGAAGTTATGGCAGCTTGGGGTATCAGGGGTCTGGGGTGTAGGGTTTTTGGGTGTAGTAGGCTTTAGGGTTTACAGGGTTCAGGAGGGTTTAGGCTTTCGGGTTTAGGGCTGGGCACAAGGGACCGATATCTGTGCTGGGAACAGAGAGGCGTGAGCCTGGGACTGAGCTTTGGAGTTGCTCTGAATTGGCTGTCGGTCTCGTCACTTTCGAACGGCCCTAAACCCTAAACCCTAAACCCTGAACCGTGAACCCCGAACCCTAAACCCTAAACCCTAAACCCTAAACCCTAAACCCTGAACCCTGAACCCAAAACCCTGAACCCTGAACCCTAAACCCTGAACCCTAAACACAGTTCTTCAGAAGCCATCGGAGCAAAGAAAAGAACCCGAAAGCTGCTCCTGAGGCCCTACATGACTAGTAGGGGTAGCTTTCTTCAGAGATAGGTCGGCTGAGCCCCCGAAATCGAACCCAACACCCCCTTAATTAGGAATATACCTTAAATCATAATATTGAGGCCCCTATAGTTTAAGGTATATATCTTAATTAAGGGGTATTGGGTTCTCTCGGCAGAGAGCGACTCCTACACTCTAAGAGCCGAAAGCCCCTGCACATCGGTCCTGGCTCAGGCTTCGGGCGGGCATTAGGGTTTTGAATCCCCAGCCCTTCGCCCCGGAATCCAAGGCTACCAGGTATTTGAAAGTAGGGGCGGTAACCCTAAACCCTAAAAGCTAAACCCCCATGACTTAGGTTTAGGGTGTAGGGTTTTATCACCCCCCCGTTAACGAACCACAACCCGGTGGTAGATCCTTCAAAAACGCTTTGTAAGGTCGTGATAGCCATAAACGGTGAGGACCCGGTCAAACCCAGTATCTAAGCACGTACAGGACTGAACCCTAAAAACCCTAAACCCTATGCCTGTAGATCCTCCTTAGGGAAGCCTGAAAAAGCAACCCTAAACCCTAAACCCTAAACCCTAAACCCAAAGCTCTATACTAAACTACTGAAACCTTGGAGCTTCCCCAGCGTTTCAGCGGACCCGTCGCGAGCGACCCATGGCCGGTGCCAAAGGTTTGCACCGTGGGCAGGCGAGCGGCGGAAGGGTTTCGGGCTTAGGGTTAAGGGTTTAGGGTTTAGGGTTTAGGGTTTAGAGTTTAGGGTTTAGGGGTTAGGGTTTAGACTTTAGGGCTTAGGGTGCAGGGTTTGGGGACTTGGATGTTTACAAGGGCTTTTGTAGGGTTTTGCCGGGTGTGTAGGGGTGTGTTCGGTTTGGTCTTATGTCATGCTCCTGCCTGCAGGATGTGGTGTCTCACTCCAACCATCACTTGATGCTGCTGATATCTCCAAGCTGTCCGAGGTGCCGCAGAGATGGACGCGGGATCTGATGCCCAAGGCCTTTATGTGGGAAGGGGGAGCAGCAAGCGGCGAAATGAGACACCCAGGCGTCCAGCTACGGCTACGGGTGTGACTTGCATCTTTCCGGCACGTGTCGCATCAACTTTTGGTCATGATTCTTGAGCCATCGAAACCTAGTGGAACCCGTAGAAGCGCAGATAAAACCCTGCGAGGGGAGACCCTCTCATAAAACCCTACAGGCACCCTATAACCGTTATCAAACCCTTGTAGCGATCCCGTAGGCTAGGCATCCCAAAGAACGCATCACCCTACACCCTGAGCCCTAAGCCCTTTCGGATATTAGGGTTTAGGGTTTTCTGATTGACACGAGGAACAAGGCATAAACCCCCAGCCTCCCTTGTGAGGCCGGGGCTCCGTTTGGCGGAGGCACCTCCTCGGCGATGGCGGAGCCCTCGGAGGTTTTCCTTCTACGCGCAGATCTGGGATCCAGGGTTCCTTAAAGGGGGTGCTCTAGGGCTTCTGCAAGGGTGCCAGGGGTTCAAAAAGGGTTGGGGTGCAGGGTCCTTTGGGGGTTTTGGGGCTCTCTGCTCCGCCGAAACCCTGAGCGCAGAAAATAAAGGTCTGTGTGTAGAGATCGCTTTGGTGTTGTTTTCAGGCGATCTCTCTTGCTTTCATCCTTTTCAGCAGATTTCAGCTGCAAGCCGAATGTTACAGTGAGTGCGGGGTGCAAGCCTAAACCCTAAACCCTAAAACAATAAAACCCCAAACCCTAAACCCCTAAACCCTAAAACCCCAAACCCTAAACCCTAAAGCCCTAAACCCTAAAGCCCTAAAGCCCTAAACCCCAAGCAACCGGACTTGCCAGTCTCAAGACTGCCCATGGACTGCCCCGTGAGACTCCCTCTCGGCGACGGGTTTAGGGTTTAGGGTTTAGGGTCACCCAAACTTCGAAGGCCCCGTAAACCCCACAACTTCAAGGCCCCGTAAACCCACAACTTCAAGGCCCCCTGAACCCCAAACTTCGAAGGCCCCGTAAACCCTCAACTTCAAGGCCCCGTAAACCCACAACTTCAAGGCCCGGTAAACCCCACAACCTCAAGGCGCCTAAAGCCTCAACCCTCCCAAAGGACCGGCTTCCAAGATCTTCAGCGCGTGGGAGGGCAAGTTGGATGTCCGAGCCTCACCCAAGGGGTCTACGGTTTGGAGTTTGGGGGTTTGGGGTTTAGGGTTTAGGGTTTGGGGTTTACCTGAAGAACCCAAAACCCATTGCAGGTTCTTATTATAATCCCTAATATAGGATTTACAGGGACCCTACAAAAAAGTAGGTTTTGGGTTCTTAAGGTAGGGTTTAGGGTTTGGGATTTGGGGTTTTGGGGTTTGGGGTTTAGGGTTGCGGGAAGCTTCAGGGCCCCGAAGCCCAAAGCTGGGGTGGAACAACGTGCTTTAAAAAAAGGCCTTAGATGGAAGTAGGGCTAGAAGAAGGTCATCGTAGTTTCAGGGTTGGGCTTTGAGTCGAAAACCCCTGTAACAAAAGAACGGTTGCCACTCAAAACTCCTCAGCTCAAGTATTCATAGCTGCCCATGAACCTGTTGATGACGAAAGAGGCACCACGAATTTCGCAAAGTTTGCCCTGGCCCGAAGGAATCGAACCAGAGGGTCATCCGCGCGGACCGAAGGGCTGATTGCATCTAAAGTGCATGTCTAACTAGGTTCCCAGTAGTACCCGTTTGCCCTTCTTTGTTTCGGGCTCCCTAAATAAAGCCAAATAGTAGGAAAAAGGGTACCCTTATTATTTAGGGGCTACTGGGGAACCTAGTCTAAATGAGGTATCTGATGCTATCCGAGCAGACTGTTCGTGACCTTTGAGCTTGCGTAGGACGCAGAACGCACGCGATCTGACATGGAGTTCTTTCGACAGCCTGCGCTGCGCGACAAGATGGAGGACGGCAACGGGGGGGGGGAGGGCACCTACAGTTCTCGCTTCAGATAGGAAGCGGATTGCGGGATGGACACCATGTTTTCGAATTGCTTCAGCCATGAGGCGATGCTGACTTGCTGGTGCCAAGAGCGGCAGACCAAGTACAAGCAGGGTCTCAACGAGGCCTGGGAAGCGATGTCCGAAGACCCCGAAGACCCCGAAGCCGAAAAACGCTTCCAAGCAGGTTTGCAGAAGAGTTTAGGAGTTTATGGTTTAGGGTTTAGGGACGCCAACAGGGTTTAGGAGATCCCTGTAAGAGGATTGCGTTTGGGTTCGGGATGTGTAGTGCCGACGCAGAGCGCAGCTTTGAGTCTTCGGCCGATGGTGTCCAAGCACAGAGCCTGACTTGACATCTTACAATGGTACCCCTTTTCGACTAGCATAGGGTTTGCGGGCTATTATTCCATCATCATACTTATAACTATAGCAGAATAGTCCCAAAACCTATCTTAAAACATTACCCCTTTTCGATTCGCATAAGGTTTGGGTGCTGTTGTACCATCATCATAGTTATAAATATAGTATGATCGTCCCCAAACCCTATTTTAAATATGAAAGCACGTACATTCACTGCACTTCCAGCGCAGCAGACATTGTTGAGGCCACACCTCCGCCAAATCTATGGACCCGAGCCTGTCTTGAAGAACAGAGCACATGTAGCGCAGCTTGTTCTGGAGTCCACCTCTCTTCGGCTTAGCATCGGCCATGCTGCGGATTCAGCGCGTGTCGGGTGAAGAACTCGTTGCCCTCGACTTGGCGAGCTTTCTCGAGACGCAGCCCGCCGGCATGCATCCCGTCCGGGCACTGCAGCAACACTTGCACAGAATTTGTGGTGTGTCACGGTTCAGGCAACGGCTGGTATATCTGGATGATAACCGGGCTCTAGATGACGATCACACCTTAAGACCTGGCGAAGTCCAACTCGTACTTCTGAGCTTATGCCCACCATCGGACGCTCAAGTGACAGAACTTCGAGATGCAGCGGGACATGGCAGGTCAGCAGAAGTGGAGACTTTTCTACAAAAGCCGCAAGACCCAGACTTGGGCGATCCGGCCCCTCTGTTCGAGGCATCCAGGCACGGCCAAACAGAGGTTGCAAGCCTTTTGCTGGAAGCGAATGCAGACAAGGACAAGGCCAGGCAGGATGGCGCCACCGCTTTGCACCTTGCAGCTGGTAACGGGCACGTGCAGGTTGCACGCCTTCTGCTGGAGGCCAATGCGGACATGGACAAGGCCACGCAGAATGGCGCTGTCGCATTGCACATGGCAACTCACAGAGGGCACGTGGAGGTTGCAAGCCTTTTGCTGGAGGCCAATGCAGACAAGGACAAGGCCACGCAGGATTGGGAGACCGCTTTGCACATTGCAGCTTGTAACGGGCACAAGGAGGTTGCACGCCTTTTGCTGGAGGCCAATGCGGACATGGACAAGGCCAGGCAGAATGGCACTATCGCATTGCACATTGCAGCTCACAGAGGGCACGTGGAGGTTGCACGCATTTTGCTGGAAGCGAATGCAGACAAGGACAAGGCCATGCAGGATGGCGCCACCGCTTTGCACATTGCAGCTCAGGAGGGGCACGTGGAGGTTGCACGCCTTTTGCTGGAGGGCAGTGCAGACAAGGACAAGGCCAGGCAGGATGGCGCCACCGCTTTGCACATTGCAGCTCAGGAGGGGCACAAGGAGCTTGCACGCCTTTTGTTGGAGGCCAATGCGGACAAGGACAAGGCCAGGCAGGATGGCGCCACCGCTTTGCACCTTGCAGCTCACGAGGGGCACGTGGAGGTTGCACGCCTTTTGCTGGAGGCCAATGCGGACATGGACAAGGCCATGCAGCTTGGCGCCACCGCTTTGCACATTGCAGCTGATAACGGGCACGTGCAGGTTGCCTGCCTTTTGCTGGAAGCGAATGCAGACACGGACAAGGCCATGCAGGATGGCGACACCGCTTTGCACATTGCAGCTCAGGAGGGGCACAAGGAGGTTGTACACCTTTTGCTGGAGTCCAGTGCGGACCAGGACAAGGCCATGTAGGATGGTGCCACCGCTTTGCACATTGCAGCTCAGGAGGGGCACGTGGAGGTTGCACGCCTTTTGCTGGAGGCCAATGCGGACATGGACAAGGCCACGCAGGATGGCGCTATCGCATTGCACATTGCAGCTCACAGAGGGCACGTGGAGGTTGCACGCCTTTTGCTGGAGAGCAATGCGGACAAGGACAAGGCCATGCAGGATGGCGACATGGCTTTGCACATTGCAGTTCACAGAGGGCACGTGGGGGTTGCACACCTTTTGTTGGAGGCCAATGCAGACAAGGACAAGGCCACGGTGGATGGCGCTACGCCGTTGTTGATTGCAGCTCGCAGAGGGCACGTGGAGGTTGCACGCC